TTTTGCAAACTTTTTTTTTTATTCGCACGCGCGCATCAGTTTTGGGGCTCCCGGAGGATGTCATCCATATAATCAAATCAACATGGCCTTATGTCGGGATCAAAATATTTCCCAAGTTGTGAACCAATCAAACTTGTTCAAACACCATTTAATATTTACATTGCTCTTACAGGAACTGTCTGTCTCGGAACTTATCGTCCTATACATTCTATATTAATTAATGTTCAATTATCGATAGTTTCTCTATTGATATGTGTCAGACTATTCGGCAAGGGAAGGGATTAGAGGAGTACACCAGTGATACAATAGGTTACATATGAAGCTACCAGTTGACATTATTTTTAGAAAAATGATTAGGCTCTTGGTTTCTGAATGGAGGTAAACCCCCATACGCCCCCTTGCCCAGTCTGAAACATGTGAAATGCATCCACTTGCCAGTACCCCTTACCAAACTTGTCTCCCTGTTTATACTGTACATGTTATAAGCCATAGAGTAAAATATTGGTGCTATTCAGTACATGTATGAAAGTGATGTCACATGTCTAGGTGTTGTCACAAGAACTGCCATTCTTCATGCCAATGTACTTTTGGCCTGAGAAATTGTTTCATGCAAAGATTTATGAATTTATCATATATATAATCAAGAATATCTGTGGTGCTTACTAGAGATTTTGGATGCAAAACAAAAAATAGAAGACTCTGATTCCACTTTTACCATACAGAAACTAAATTGTTCTTCCACAAGTCATTAAGGACTATCATAATAATGTTATTGTACATCCACATTCAATGTATAACAGAAACTCCTATCTAGTCTTTTTCATCTATATTATGCACAATGAACAGTGGACCAGAGATTACTACATACATCCTGATGAACTACAACCTTTTTTTTGTGTGTGTCAGCCATGGATCTTGGACCAAATTATAGCTGAAAACCCGAAACAGATCCACTGTAGTTAAAACTTATGCTGTTTCTACTGCACAAAATATAGTAACTGTTACTTTTAGCACATACAGTAGTACATACATGTAGACAGATGTAGGTAGACATAAGAAATTCTTCCACAACTACATCTGCACTAGCCTGTATAGGAGTGGTATTTGGAGCCCTGTGTATGCCAGTTTTATGTACATGTATTGATAATGAAGATATGCATATTACTTGATATCAATAATTCCATTGATTTTATTTCAGTCCGCACTCAATATGCATACTTTTCACTCAAAATCACCAACACATTTTGACTCAGGCAACTATGTATAAATAGTGAATCTCATGTACATGTACTTTATATCTATCAAGATAATTTGAAAAAATCATGGTGCTTATCAATTCAGGACTAACAGCCATAATAGTCATCTGAATATTATGTTGATTATTATTAATCTAAACTTTAATTTTATAAAATTACATCTTTGTACTTAATTGTTCATATTGCAAAGCCATGTATTATGTTCCACAGTTATATATTTTTATTCTATGCACTTGTTATGCCAATTGAGATGAACCTTATATGTAGAGTAGTCTTCTATACTAGGTTATGTTGCAGTAATTACATGCATGGAGTTAAAAGAGAGACTTCATGGTACATGTGACCATGTCTATACACAAAATATTAATAAACTTAGATATATGTAGGTTATCTGTAAAATCTGTATTTATTGTATATACTCTTTATATTATAACAGTAAAGTTAACATGTTATGAAATAGTTTATGAGTTTTTTTTCATTACAAGTTGCTCAGTGAGTAACCTACATGTAGGTCCAATATGTACCTGGTATTTTAGTGCCATTTTAGGTTGCCCTCTGTTTTTCTGTGTGTTAGGCATATGTAGCTTGAGTCAATCTCATTTCTAGCAGCCTTTCCACTGTTCAGTCCCCTATAGAAGCTTGAAGTCCAACACCTCTAAGTTAGGATTTGTAACATCCTAATCGTACTTATTTATGCACATGTTTACAGGGGTCTCCCCAGGCAATGGTGCAACGGCGGTGCGCCACTCCCAAAATTTCTAGCGCCACTCCCAAAATTTTCAAATTAAGGGTCTTCTCTTCGTATTTTCGCGGATAAATAGGCAAAAAAACATCGAAATCTTGACGCGAGTGGCGTCCATTTTCCCGTCGGCATTGTTTCTGAAACTTGTGAATGGGCGATAAACGAGTAAACAATGACCATTTCGCACGACGCTACCGAGAGAATAGCTGTCATTGGTGGAACATCGGGCGCCCCGCTAGCGTTTTTAAGTCATGTAAACAACGCTAATTGTCTGATTGGTTTGTAAAACAAAGCCCTCGACCCCGAAAATAAGTTTATAAAGCCGATGCGTTTACGAACTAGCCGTGGAAAATTCCCTACCGTACCGCACCATGAGCATGTGGCGGCCGCAAAATTCGGTTAACGCAACAGATAAATGTCTGGGCCAGTATAGCGGCATTTCCCATGAAAATAATGTATATTGTTTATTTTTCGCCTGCTGTCGGTTTTTAAGTTCCAAAACGTCTGAAAAAGCAGAAATTTGCTCACAAAACCGGACGGGGGAAGGCGAGTCGCTATCGGCGTGAAGCACATGGCGAGGCCTTTTTAAAAATCGGTACCGCGGAAGAAAAATGCGTGGTCCATTTTAGCGATATTTACCATGAAAATAACGTATGTGGTTTATTTTCCCTCTGGTGTTAGTTTTTAGGTACCCGAAACCCCTAAAAAAGTAGAAATTTTCCCATAAAACGCACGGCCGAGGGGTGGGAGGGCGGCCGGCACAGAACTGCATGACCCGTAAAAAGTCAAAGGTCATAGTGCACGCATATTACGCAATCACCCTAAAGCGCCGATTTAGCTAATTTTAGGGCGTTTAAAATTGATAAAATCACATTATTGATTTTTAGGAAAACAATGGGATGGAAACTAATCAAAACTTTGTGCTGAATAATTTTTTTTCTTCAGAATTTTTTTTCTTCAGAATTTTTTTTCTTCAGAATTTTTTTTCTTCAGAAGTTTTTTCTTCAGTAAGTTTTTTTTTCAGTAAGTTTTTTTTCTTCAGAAGTTTTTTTTCTTCAGAAGTTTTTTTCTTCAGTTTTTTCTTCAGTTTTTTTCTTCAGAAGTTTTTTTTCTTCAGAAGTTTTTTTTCTTCAGAAGTTTTTTTTCCTTCAGAAGGTTTTTTTTCTTCAGAAGTTTTTTTCTTCAGAAGTTTTTTTCTTCAGAAGTTTTTTTTCTTCAGAATCCAGACTTTGACCAGACTAGACAATGTACCATACCAACTAATTATTATGTTGAAATGGATGTGTATATTTTGTTGTACAGATACTCATTAATGCCCTACATTTGTACTTAATTTGGCTTGATTTTCTATCTCTTTAGTTAGTAAGATTTTTAACTCAGGTTGCAGGAGAAGGCTACAAACTGCATTTCAGAAGGGTAAAATGCAACAGCTTCTCCTACGGAGAGGGGGGGGACCTCTCCCCCTCACAGCCGCGCTTCGGCGTCGGGCACTGCGTGCCCTCCAAAAAAATTCAAGCACCACTCCCCTAAAAATTCCTGGGGAGACCCCTGTACACAGTTTATGCATATTATTTTCAAACAACTAAGACCTGTCAGTAACCATGATTACTGGTTTTTATGGTGATGAAATAGGTTATTTTTGTTCTAGGATAGTCTTCAAGGTTGGTCCACAGTACATCTAGTTTTTTCACACCAGATACAGTATTATGCACCTCTCAGGATTACTACTGTAACATAACATAGTAAAAAAAAAACTCATTCTTAGGTCATGTTATGGAATGTAACATGTTTCTCACTCTCAGGCCAAAATATTCCAAGATGAATTGTGGGGAGCTAAGAGTCACTGTATGTGAGCTTTCATACTACGTTGTGTATTTGTTAAGAGATTGGTTGTTGAGGGCTGTTGACTGTATGATACTGAAGTAAAATGCTTATGTCAAAAGGTTTTCTGACCCTTTGTTCAAGTTCTTTTTCCTTTTCATTTTTGGAAAAGTCAGAAATAAACTTTCTTGAATGTAACCTTAGCGATAAGATGTCACGAAGGACAGCAAGCCATACTAGTATATGTAAGAAGGTATTTAGACATATACCATCATGGGTGATACAAAATGTAATGGGAACATTGAATTCTAGTCATGTTGCTGTTGTTCTAAAGTTGTCATGACAATAAAAAAACTTCGGCACTTTTTAGTCAATGTCTTTGACTATGAATATTTTGGATACAAGTATTGACAAATCAGCAGATCTATTAAGATTTACATTATAGTTTCCTTGTTGAGTGAAAACGTATATGGTACAAATAGTGACGAAAAAGGTCCATATTCAGTCGGTCATAAGAGCCGTTTTAGGAATGTTTGTCCCAAAATGAACAGAAGCAAGAATAAAACAGTATTTTTCTGGTACATTTGTGATATTTAGATAGTCTGTTCGAGCCTCAAGTTCAAGAAGAAGAGCAGGAAAGACCTGAAGTAAAACCCCCATAAGAGCCCATCGCGTTTCCCAAGTCGCAAATTGGCCGAATCTGGGAATGAGCGAGGCTTCTTCCTTAACGAGATACGGCCCTTTTCCGAACGAGTGCTCCAAAACGGGGGCGTGATAGGGGATCAATATCCTGTTTTGTAATTTTAGAAAAATGAAACTTTTGCCATTTCTCGGCCTCCTTGTTTTGAGGCCATACTCTTTGTGGTCTCCATTCTATTCCTACATATTGCCTTTCCCCAATTTTGCGTCATTCTCGAGTTATACGCCAAAACCTGATTTAGTGATCAGCTGATCGCTTGCAGAAGTGGTCAGAGTCTTTGCAGAAGTGAACTTTTTGCTGTCGATCTCATTACCATATGAATGAAAACCAAGCAGATGTCAGGCGTATAGAACCGCAATCCCCTGGCAAAGTTTGTTCTTTTTTAATACCTCCTACAATCCGACTTATTCATATGGTAATTAGATCGATGAACGAAAAATTCACTTCTATCTAGGAGCTTTTAAGAACGATTTTTAAGTTAACCTCCTTGCTCAAGCAGATGAACGATAGTGACGCCAAGAAGAGTGGTGGATGTCACTCGAAACGTCGAAGTGTAATCTCCATAATTTATCCAGTAGTAGAGTTAAAATTTTCTATGAGTCAGGTAAAATTAAAGGCCCAAATTTATAGAAAACCAAATACGCGTCAGACTTAGCTTTCACCGGAACATCTGCTTGGAGGCGATAGGGTCATAAATCATTGAGGGTCAATGCAGATGTTGGGGTGACAGTTCGTAATGTTTTTGGAGTGACGGCCAGCCGGGTGTCTCTCGGCATCCCTTACACCAGTATGGAACAGTTGAATAAAAGCCCAAAATTTTAAGGGAAAAAGGATGATGTCCACATGTGTACTCATTTCGTGCTGAATATGGTGCACATGAATGTAGGTGGTTCTTCTATGGGCGGACATGGTGTTACTCCAAGAACAATTACTCAAGCAACTGGATATGAGTTTGGACACGTTTCAGATAGCATCCACTACATCTCGTCAGTGACACTGGAGAGTTGTCAGAAAAGCAGGTTGATAAGTACGAACTATTGATTAATATTCAAGTAAGTGAAGACAATTTTTTTGAAAGTCCAAAAGGAAACAAAAGTTAGACAAGTCAAGACAAGGATTATGCAAAATTAGTCAAGTAGCTCCTGTACAAACAAACACACACACACACACACACACATGCACACACACACACTGAAGAAAAAATTCTGATACACATTTTGTCTTTGCATTCTATATTGAGAAAAATTAACCTTACATCAAGACAATAGTTTTGATAATACTTGTTATCATTGTGCTATTCACATACATATACACAATACTAATACTACTAGTAGCTTGTTTCAACTCAGTTTTTCAATTCATGATTTGGGGTGGAAAATGATACAAATATTATAGTGTATGATTTGAATTTTCTAGAATAAATGCTAAAATAAATCTGAGCCAAAACAAATAGTGAACTACGTACCAACATGTATTCAATTTTATTTTATTAGCTAGTGAAACCAGTTTATACAATACCTAGTGTAGTACAATGTACAACCAGCCAGACAAATAGAATAGTCTAGTAGGAGTGATTATGTTTTATGAATACAAAGCCACTGGAGGGTAAAAAAAAATTGACCAAGATGTTTTTTCAATGTTCTTCTAGCTTTAGTTTCAGAACTCTACTTGTAACAGTGGGTTCTGCACATCTGTTGGTCGCTTTCTGCACTTCGCCCATCAGCCTGTTCACAACCTTTACGTTGCCTTTTCTGTATGCTTCCACCTGCAAGAAAGTAGACCATACAATTTTTGTACTGGAAATGCAATTACTTTAAGTGACTTATTTTGTGGTATGAGGGAAAAAGAGGTTTCTACAGTGTTTGAAGTTCACAGTTGAAACAATTCTGTGGTAAGATAGAAATACAGAACACATACATGTATTTGCAGTGTCATTATTTTGCATTTAGAGGATACTGTGAAAAACACAAAAATAAAATCACTGCATATATTTTACAATGTACAGTATGACTGTAAACTGATACAAAATACTAGTACATAGACAACGTAGGTACAGATAAAACAAGCAAGTAAAAATAAACATTACCAGTTCAGTGTGTTTCTCCAAGATGTCATCACATATTCTGCCTAGTGTCTCCTCATCCCTGATCTGAGCCCATTCATTCTCCTCTATAATCTGTTGTATCAGGGGGAAAGTGTCATGATAAAACATGGAAAATAAGCTGCACATTGAAATAATTTCACACAAATATTGAGATGCCTTAGTCCACAATAATGGTAAAAAGATGCAGTATTTGAGCAAATGGTACCTGGTAAGTCTGAAACATCTGTACTACTAGAATGTTGATTATCATTCATTGTTAAGCATATGCATTATATCTACTATATGCAGGATATCATTTGTGCTAGAAATCTTGATGCCTTTGAAAGGATGGGTTGGTTAACATTTTACTGAATTAGAAGATGGCAAGTATGATAATAAAGAGATATGTTACTAAAAATCACCTGTGACAGACTTCTGTTGTCTCCATCAAACAGCAGACCAAGGATCTGTGAAAAGATCCAACAGAAAATATATTTCGTTGGACATGTAAGTTGTAACATATGTGCTTTGTATAACACAACAGACTGTGATATTGCGAATATTTATAAATCTATCTAATATTGATAATATGCAAATTAAAATATCAACAGCAGCATGAATGATATAAATCTCAACAAAAACATGGAAAGCACGGGAGATACAGAAAATAATATGGTATAAAAACCAACCTTCTTCCCAGTTGATTTGGAAATTGTTCCCATGCCCACTAGATCCACAATCTCTCCCAACTTACTCGCTGTGACAGAACTGAAAGAAAAATTTGGGAAGCAAAAAATGAAAAATGACTTCTGGTTTGTACATGTACATACAAGGAGAATAACCTCCTTGGTACATACATGTAACATCTTATAATTATGTTACAGTGGGTTTATAAGTGCTACCTACTGATCTGATGATGGGTCTAGACCTTTTAGCCGAATGGTTAGAGCATTGGGGTTCGATTTCCGGCCCGGGACCAGGAGTGGCTTTCTTTTTCTACTTGCCTCTTGTTTCAGTTACATGACTACAGCATAATGCAGCATTAAGCATTGACATTTGCATTAATGCTTAAGTGAGTTAATAATACATGTATAAGTAATGAAGGCAGGTAGCAACAGTCTTTTTCCCTTCAAACGACTTGAAGTGCAAAGATCACGAGTCAAATAAAAAGCGCCCTCTACCCACCACTCCTGGAAGGTCAGGCTCCTCTTGTGCAGCTGTTCCAGAAGGTCGGTCAATACCCAGGATGCCGCTGACCTGGGGTCACGACCTTTGCCCTTGACATCTATCAACGTCTCAAAGTATTCAACAAGACCCTCGCCCTAGAGATAAAGAAGATGGTTGGGGTAGAAATATTCCTATAATTTCTTCTCAAGACAAATATTGTTCCTTGCAAGGTTCCGAAGTTTTCTATCCATTCCCTTATGCAACCAAGGAGCTTCTATAGAAGCTTCTATAGAAGCTCCTTGATGCAACTACATAGTTTCAAGTATGATTTATTTTTCATTTTCAAACATCTGCTCTCCTCAATACTTCCTGGTTATACATAATTTATTGTAGAGCTAGTATCACTGACACCAGTAAAAAAAGAAAGACTGATATTGTGTCACAATGAAAAAGAAAGCTGACTTGGTGATTTGTCCAGGGTTGTTAAGTCAGACTTAGAACAAGTCGTACAAGTGCTGTACCCTTGAAAAAGTCACTTAACACCAACAGTATTTCTAAACTTGATTTTTGTGCAAATTAGTACCTCTCTTCTTCCACCAATGTGGTAAATTTCTATCAATAATATGTAAGTAAATTAATGTGAAATACAATCGTATAATCCTAAGCCTCACCACCAGAGCCACACTATGCTGAAACTGGATGCCGTATTTCTCTACAAGTCTGCGTCTGGTGGTATCAGGAAGTTCTGGCATCTGTTCACGTATCCTGTCGATGTTAACAACACTGTCCTGCATGCCACGGGGGGACGTGGCGTCTGTGTACACGATCAGGGGAGGCAGGTTGGGCTCAGGCATGTATCTGGAGAAAATACAACATCTCATTAATTTTGTTACAGATCTATTCTTACAAAAGTACTGATATGAGAAAAGAAAGATGCCAATTAAAGGTCCTGATGTAAATTCTGTGGCAGAGTTTGCCAGGCTAGTACCAATCATACATGTACTTGATCATGAGAGGCACTTTGCAGCAAAAACTGCATAGAGCAATGCTCAGCGTCTGACAAAGCCAAAAGAAGCAAAGAAAACTGTCTTCTTAGACAAAAAGAGTGCAAGACTACTGAGTACTGACTATAACTTTGATACACATTTTTATTTTCAACTTCAATGTAAGAACAGAACACTGCACACCAAGGTGTACTAGACAAAAAAATCATGGCAATAGCAATGGTATGCTGGAATTCGATTTTTTTATTATATTTATATCATTTATATTCATAGTAATTGGCGATAATACATGTCATTGCTAGGATCAACACAGACTGGTAACGGCTGATGCACAAAAAACGTTGACATAACACAAGTTGGTATTGTTACCTGTAGTCGTGCCTCTGTTCTTTGTCCCTCAGAGATATTGTCTTCCCTGCCTTCCAGTCAAAGTACCTGGTCTCCTCCTCCACCTCACCGGCGCCCTCTAGCACTCTGATCTGTCTCTGCATCTCATACTCTAGGAAATATCAATTTAGAAAGTTAGAACCTTTATTGTGATACCACATTGCAGACTGCGTAAGTATTTACAATCAATGTGTTGTACATTCTACAAGCCAGTCATTCTTATATACAAAACATCTATATCACATATTTGTGCTGAAACTACTGATCAAAACTACTCAAATATTTCTCTGTTGGTAGCAGAGAATAAAAGGGGACTTGTGAGATGTTTTGAAATATTCAGAAATATCATAATCAAATATCAAAGGAAATACTACATGTCTAGGAAAACTGCCCTACTTATACATACCTATAGCCTTCTGTACAAACTTAGCACTGTTGATGTTTTTGACCTCTGCCCTGGTCCCTAGTTCCTCATTACTCCTACTGACTGAGATGTTGGCATCTACTCTCATGGAACCCTCTGGAAATATATGTGTATCACAGTATCAGTATTAGAGAGTCACAGAAATACAATATATTATACATTATTAGACAGCTTCTTCAACTCCATATTTGAAAAGTGTCCATCTTTCAATCATTTGGAAAAAAAACTTTGCCCAATCTGTCACCTTTGAATGGACAAAGATTCTGTATGTAAAGATATGAAAAAAGATTAAACTCATCTACTCAAATGCAGAAAACAGCATTTCAGAGCGTTAAGAAATTCAAAATTACATAAATAGTTAGATGGTCTGACCTGACATGTTGCCGTCGCAGGTCCCGAGGGCCTGCAGGATGAGCTGCAGTTCTTTCACCATGGCGGCAGCCTCTGCACCATCCACCATGTCTGGTTCTGTCACTATCTCCATCAGGGCCACACCTGAAACATTACAGCACTCCTGGTGACTGGGGAAGGTACTACAGCTTTGTTACAATGGCCATGACAATATCTGAAGGAGAAAAACAATGTTGATTGAAATGTGGACTGTATAGACAACCTTACCAGCCCTGTTCAGGTCCACCAGGACCTCCCCATTCTCCTGGTCATGTAGACTCTTCCCGCTGTCCTGCTCCAGCTGCAGCTGTTTGATGCGCACCTGGCAGGACTTCAGCACCTGCCGCTGACTCCGGCTCTCATCATACACGTCAAAGGTCATGTGACCATTCACGGCCAATGGCAGTCTCTGCTGGGTAATCTGATAGCCTGCCTAGTGGTGAATGAAGCAAGTGATTGATTTAAGAAACAAGTGATTTATTTTGAAATAAATATTTATTTTAACCCCTTTTGGGCTTTAGCATGCTAAAATAGCTGTTTGACTACAGAGTTAGGCAGAGAGAAGGTGGAGAGAAGGTTAGTGTTCATTTGAAGTTGTGAACATTAAAACAACTAATAAAAAAAGCCTATCTATACAGGGCATCAATTTTCCACTTGTATGTCATGAATGGAATAAAAGTTTCGACTGCAAAATAATGTTATAACAACCTCCATCTTCAAACACAAAAATTAAATCAGACGTAAAGCTTTCAGGTCCATAATTAACCTGTGTTCTGTGCTGTACATGTGTCAACAGTCTAGGCTATAGATTGAAGTTGTATTATACTTACTGGAAGATCAGCATAGAAGTAGTGTTTTCTGTCGAAGAGAGATCGTCTGTTGATGTGACAGTTGAGCGCTAGAGCCGTCAGCACACCTGCCTCAACACACCGTCTGTTCAACACCTGTGGGATAGAGGGAAGGAAAGAACATACTCAGGAAAGACAGATGCTGTACCAATGGCATGGAAAATGTAGATTCGATTGAGTTACAGATTGAGGTACTAGTAGTCAAATGTTTACTGCTAATGATTACCACCTCTACAAATGTAATGCTTTGGTAAGAGATTGATTATACCAAAAGACCACTAACCAGTATTTGAATTGTTCTTGCTTGTCTACTATTTGGGCGCCAAAAAAGTGCATTTGCTCCCAGTATTTTGAGCCTTATTCAGAAGCATACTAATTGAATGGACTAATGTAACTTACTGGTAAAGTGCCTGGCAAGGATGCGTCCAGCGGTGAGACAAGTGTGTTTGGTGGTGCTGAGAACTGGACCTGTGAGCCTGAGAAGAGTTTGGAGTTGGAGGAGATCTGTGCGTGGATCTCTAACCCCACCCTGCCCTGCCAGCCACCGGGGAGGGGGCTGTGGAGAAACAAGAGACATCAGTTAACAATTTGAAAATCAACCTTGTAGGTAAACAATAGTATCGGATATAAATGGGGGTCTGCATGCCCTTTTTCGTAGAGCATAATTGGCCGCTTTAATTCTATGTGGAGCGTAGACGGACCGCTCTAATTCAAGCGTAATTGGCGCATTTTGCGTAGAGCGTAATTCACCGTTTTATTTTACCTAATGCGTTGTAGCTACCCGGAATTTATCGAAGAGCATAATGGTGAGGCCTCTTGAATTCAGTGTAATACTTAGCCAGCTGTCAAAATTAAGCATAGAGTGTTGTCAGGACATCCCCATATATGCAGGCTCTCACAAATGTATGGCAAGTTGGCTAACAGTAATACATAATAAAGATTCTGTTATCTCCACTATAAGAATTCTAGAATTTGGAAGGGAAGTTGAGCAGGATTTTGCAGAGGTGGGTTGTGGACGGGAGGGGGCGCAACGGGCAGCGTGATGGAGGAGAATTTATGACCCTTTACGTGGGGAGGGGGGCGGTGCATCGTCGTCATGCCAAGTCAAATTAACACATCTACAGGGCGCCAATAGCTATTAAATTCAAATATCTTACCTTGTGTGATCTTTTTTCGTCTTTGCTTTAGCATATGACCTGCTACACGTACGTAAAGATCGACGACAACTCAAAAGAATTCGCTCGACACAAAATTTGTGTGCAGACGACGCCATCTTGTCTTGCACTTTTTATTCAAATCGCTAGGTAGAGCGCCTGCGCGGTAAATGTCTTAACCATTCTTCATGCAATATTTAGTTGTTTTCTGAGCGCATATTTAGCTGGAATATGAGGTTTCGACCATTAAACAGTAAGGATGAAGCACCTTTAAGTGCGACAAAAATAGCCGGGTAGCAATGTATAACGTTAAATCGGGCGAGATATGGATTAAAATATTTTTTGTACCAAATTTAGTAAATGTTAAAAGTTATTAACTTTGCTATATCTTATAACGTGAAATCTACCGAAATACAGTATGATTTGATGAGTAAACATGACATGTTGCAATATATTTCGGCATGGCATGATGAACACATGGCCCTGTGACACGGCAAGGCAGGAACCACGAGCCCTGGCTGTTGAGCCTGTCCTAAAATTGAAACGAAACAGAGAAGATTGCGCACCATCCCCGGGCGCGGCAATTTTAGGAATTTCAACCAATCAGTAAGCAAGTTTGTTCCAAATTTGTTCCAAATTTGGACTCAATGCACCAATCAGATAGCTGGATTTTCCTAAATTTGTCCTAAAATATAGCCAATCAGCTTGCGAGAAAGTTATGACGTACCAGAACTTGCGAGCCACTCCAGCTTGTCTCTAGCCGCCATAGTGGACGCTGGCCGACGATGTGGAGTAGCAACTTTGCCGTCGTTTTGTTGCTTCAGCCGTCGTGAAAACCGCCTCATCCTCCGTGAAAGTGTTAGTGTAGATATATCTTTACCTATCTGTCTTTGGTTTAGCGTAGAACCTGCTAAATGTACTTAAAGATCGACGATATTCGCACGACAAAATTTGTATGCAGACAACACCTTCTTGTCTTGCACTTTTCATCCAAATCGCTAGGTAGCGCAACTGCACTGTAAATGTTTGTACCATTCATGGGAAGCTGAAAATGGCCATTTTCGTCACAGTTAAAGGCACCGTTTGTAATTTTTACGAACGTACTTTGAAAGGGACTCGGCTTAAAATATTCAACTCTTTTCTGGGTGCATATTTTGCTGGAATATGAGGTTTTGAACAGTTTTATGGGTTAGTATTTCTTTGTCTATGGCCAGTTTACAGGTCCCAGGGGGCCTCGCCATATTGGCACCTGTTCAAATATGGGGCGTCACCTGATATATGCATGACGTCATGACTCTTTGTACGGAACGAGCACGCCACCGCTACGAAAGTGAACATGTAAAATGGTTTACCAGAATATTTAAGCTCAGTAGAGTGGATTTGGGGCCTTAAGAAGGGTATTTCGAAGTATTTAAATATTTTGGGAGACAGCTAATTCTATGTCTGGCTGTCGGCACATGACCAAATTTGTATCAGGTCAGGACAGTGGTGGGAGGCCTACCACGGGCGGAATTATACAAAAACTAGAATCGTATATATTCGTGAGTGATTCGTACTATGATCGTGTTCGCTTCGGCAACACATATACTAAAATTGGAACGATACAGAGAAGATTAGCATGGCCCCTGCGCAAGGATGACACGCAAATTCGTGAAGCGTTCCATATTTTTCGTCTTTTTATACAATATTATTTCGTCCCGCCCCTCGACAGGTGCATGTATGCTTCCTGGTCCCAAATATCTCTTTTTGAAAACCCTCAAAAACATGTAAAATATGTATTTTCTAGTAATTTTTAAAGAGAAAAATTAATCTGTGCAAATTAGACAACGCATGTCAAGAAAATATCAAAATGAATGGCTGTCTGTCTGTCTGCATTGATATCAACTCGCCGCTAGGTGTCTCTCATGTCACGTCAATAAACCAGACACCAACACACATAAAACATTGGGGTGGACTTTCATAAGTCATATAGGAAGGTGTACAAGAAGTTTGAGAACTATAGGCACTTAGAATGACTTCAGCACTTACAAGCATCACATGTTGCAGTATTTCGGCATAACATAACGTGGCCCTGTGACGCGGCAAGGCAGGAACCATGAGCCTGTCCTAACATTGGAACGAACAGAGAAGATTGCGCCCCATCCGCGGGGCTGGGGGTTCGCGTCAATTTTAGGAATTTTAACCAATCAGTAAGCGAGTTTGTTCCAAATTTGGGCTCAATCCACCAATCAGATAGCTGGATTTTCCTAAAATTGTCCTAAAATATAGCCAATCAGCTTGCGAGAAAGTTATGACGTACATCCATAGATGTACGCCAAAAAGCAGTTACTCAAGCAACTGGATATGATTTTGAAAACGTTAGACGTTTCAGCTAGTATCCACTAGCTTTCGTCAGTTACTGAGAGACCAGAGGGGAAATGCAGGTTTCCCCTGCATTTCCCCTCTGGTCTGGTTGTGATTTTGAACTAGAAATAACTTACTACAACCTGGGTCAGACAAGGAAGACATAAAAGTCAAGGGACTGCTGTATCCTGATGTTGGTTTATTTATCTATTCATATCAAGACGGCTGACAGGTCTGGCGGCTGGGTAGCCCCATTCAGCTACTAGTAGCGATATACTAGCCTGGTAACAATTAACCCGGCCCCGGTGAGCTCAGCGCTATCCCTTCGGCGCTGGTAGTGTCACGGCCCGCCAAACCAGGCCCCAATTATCGCGCGCTGGGGCCCGTGGGTACGGTTCAGGTTTCGTCGTTTTGGCTCGCGTAATACGGGAAGCCATACCCTCCTGTGCAGACCTCTGGGTGGGTGGTAGCATGGAGGTAGTTTTGATACTGCAGTGCATTTGTAGAATTTTATCTTAAGGCGTTCTTTTGCGGCCATCCTACAACTAGCCGCTCTGATACCGTTTGTACCCAGAAAACAGAGAAGATTGCGCCCCTTCCGCTTGAGAATGTAGGGTTATCGACCTAACAGGAGAGACACCTGGCGGTGAGTTGATATAAATGCAGACAGACAAAGCTTGATTTTCCAGGTATGCACTGTTTATTTTGCACATATGAATTTTATTCTTTCTGATTTTTTTATGGAAAATACATTTAGTAAGAAAGTAGTACGGCAATCTAGTCCTCAGACTTTTCTTGGACTTCAAAAAGAGAAATTTGTTACCCGGAAGCATGTATGCACGTGTGGAGGCACAGAATGAAATATGTTAATAATATAATAAAAAAGACGAAAAATATGGAACGCTTCACGAATTTGCGTGTCATCCTTGCGCAGGGGCCATGCTAATCTTCTCTGTATCGTTCCAATTTTAGTATATGTGTTGCCGAAGCGAACACGATTGTAGTACGAACCTCTCACGAATATATACGACTCTAGTCTTTGTATAATTCCGCCCGTGGTAAGCCTCCCACACCACTGTCCTGACCTGATACAAATTTGGCCATGTTCCGTTTCTGTGAGGGAACAGTACATAGAACAGCTGTCTCCCAAAATATCTTAATACTTCAAAATACCCTTCTTGAGGCCCCAAATCCACCCTATTGGGCTTAAATGTTCTGGTAAAGCTATTTACATGTTCACTTTCGTAGCTGTGGCGTGTTCGTTGTAGACAAAGCGTCATGACGCCCTGTAGCTGTCTTTCAACAGGTGCTGTGCTTAACAATGACCCCCTGGGGCCCGTATTACAAAAACTGGCCGGACACAATGAAACACTTTGTAAGGCCGATGAAAAAACAGCAAAATTTAGACCAGGAAACGAAAAGGATGAGAATTTTAAGCCAACTTTCTTTAACTGCGACAAAAATAACCGGCTTGCCATGTACAATTCGGGCGAGATATGAATGAAGATATTTTTGGCACTAAGTTAGTACAAGATAACGTTATATGCAACCACAAATTCAAGAAGAGGAGTGCAATCTACCGAAATACAGTATGATTTGATGAGTAAACATCACATGTTGCAGTATTTCGGCATAACATAACGTACACATGGCCCTGTGACATGGCAAGGCAGGAACCACGGAGCCGGTCCTAAAATTGGAAGGAAACAGAGAAGATTGCGCACCATCCCCGGGCTGGGGGTAGCGTCCAATTTTAGGAATTTCAACCAATCAGTAAGCGAGCTGGTCCTAAAATTTGACTCACTCCACCAATCAGACAGCTGGATGGTCCTAACATTGGTCCTAAAATATAACCAATCGGACAGCTGGATGGTCCTAACATTGGTCCTAAAATATAACCAATCAGCTTGCGAGAAAGTTATGACGTAACGGAACTTGCGAGCCACTCCAGCTTGCCTAGCCGCCATTGTTTGTGTGAACCAAGTGGTGACTTTGCCGTCGTTTTGTTACTTCAGCCGTCGTGAAAACCACCCCATCCTCCGTGAAAGTGTTAGTGTAGACATATCTTTACCTGCTCATATGTTTTGTTCACCAAGATGATGTTTACTGATGTTATTTTGGACCGTTATTGAACGAGTACTTCACGTCAAATTTTCTTCCCTACCGCACGCATACATGTATGTTGACAGTCGTCACGAAAGCTTCTTGGTCTCATCTCATATCTAGCATATTTTACAACAGTTGGCAGGTTGAATATAGAGCCAAATCGACCTAAAAGAGTATGAGTTGCCAGGGGAGTTACCCCATAGTAGGACAAATTAATTACTAACTTATTTTAGACCGATTTTGACTGTAAACTAAACGTTAACTTTGGAGAATGGCTTACTACTAGTATCATGGAGGTCTCCCTTCTACCTCCATGCTAGTATTGACAAAGGTGCTGATAGTGATGGATCCTCTATTGGACATCTGATGATTTTCAACACCTTGATACCATTTTGGTGACTGCCCATAGACTACTAGTACAACTTACATGTAATTATATGTCCCACAGGCCAGTCTAAACAGTAAACGTGTAACGTTATATTTTCTCCATGCTGCAGTTGGGTTTGAACTCTTTCAAATATCTTGATTCGGCCCTGGACTTTGGTAGAGCATTCACAGTCATTCATATCCCTCATACTGAATTGTCTTTAATACATTTTGTACTAGTATACTGAGTGGTGAAAACTGGATCACAGATTGTTACTTTTTACCATCTATGATATTTAACTGTTCCGTATTTTCCTCTTGCAGAGAATCCAGCAGTCTGGTGTGGACACCAGCCTCCATGAAGTTCAGTTGATTTAAAATGCAGTCAATGCTTGCAGAATCCTCTTTAGGTTTAACTTTATCAAAAACTTGTTATACAAATTCATACAATACAAGCTCAGTGTAAGAAAATTATGTCAGATGTAAGGGCCAACATCAGTGGCTGCTTCCAAACTGCAGGTTCCTTTGAATAATAAAATTTGCCAGATATGTCTAAAAAATTAACTGTGGTACCTTACTGGAGGCTTCATTTTCTTTTTTTCTTAGTAAGTAAACCTAGTAATTATAAGTAAAACCTATGTATTAATGAAGTACGCTACCACCTTAACCTACTAGTATACAACATCAACCCACAGGACAGAGGCAAATCAGAGTGCAAGCATGTCTTACCCTCATAAGACGGAACAAAAGACGCTAAACTGGACAGTGAGTGAGTGAGCAATGTGGACAACATATTTATATGTGAAATGTTTAACTACTAGTATCTGAACACCAGCCTTGCCAAATCATCCACACATAAACAGTGACTAGAATGTTATAAAAATGACTTTAATTTCTGAAACAGCAAAACAAGATTAGTATAGACCGTCACTCTTTTGAAACAAATGTCTGTCACATGTTTCAAATTATTGTATTAAATGTATTCAAAATTACATCAGTAACAATGTTGAACAGTCATGTTTTTGTACAGTCAGAATTATTTTCATGTACAATAATGTACTAGTACTTCAGGTTACATAATGAATGAATGAAGGGTCTATACTGTTTCTAACATGGCTGCCATATCCTTCATCTGTCTGGAGAAGTTCTGTAAGGGGAAAAAGATGACAAAATTAATAAAACTTTTATTGTGTATAGAAAGGAACAAAGTCTACATCTTTATATATTTGCAGTACGTATTTACTGCCATGCTGATAAGATACATGCATAAATCCACTACATCTTTTAAAAAATCTTAAAAAACATGAAGTACATGTAATCATGATTCCAGAATATAACCTAGTGGTACATCAGAAAATATTCTCAGCGCTCGAAATATGCATATGCACATGTAGGTTAGTGATGGTATAATTGAAGCTGTGCAGGTATACTTGATGTATAATTGCACCAGTCCATGTACTGGGTTTATACTGGTATGTTAATTTTATTTGCTGCATTGACTTACCACCTATATCTACGGCAATCACTCGATATCTTTATTTGCAATCATATACAGATTCATGCACAGATACAAATTCATGTAAAGATACAGATTTTTGGAGTAGGATGACCGTGTCAGTCCCTACAGGCCTACACCTGAGTGAGGGTCACAGTTGACACGGTGGCCTTCGCGTGGGTTTGTTGTTATACCATCTTTAATGTATAAAAGAATTGGCAATGCCAACGGCTTCTTAACAGTTCTAAGTATGATCCATACTTCCTAAGTTCCAAGCAGTGAGGGTAAAATTTGGTGCAGCATGCAGAAAAAAAACTTTTGTGACCTGATTTTCAATTTCAAGTTGTAACCTTGTGTGAAAGTGACAGTCATTCGCCCATGGACTCTTTACACACCTGGAATTCTGGAACAGTCATTTCAAAAGATTTGGTGACGACACTTCCCGAGGGCTCCGCAATCTTGATTGTCATGGCAACAAAGGGGGAGTTCAGGTTGCGGCAGGTGTCTGAACCAATCGCCACGCCTAGTCTCCATTTCATGTCAATCAGCTGTTCATTATACAGGTTAAAGATGATACATAAAACTAATGACACTGAAATACACCTGTACAACAGTTCCTGAAAATAGCCAAACGTAGGTATTATTCAATGAACCAGTTTTCTAGCTGGTGTCCATTTTTCTGCCATTTGACAGAATTTTGCTGCTCATGACAGATCGACAAAAAATGCAAAAAATTGGCATGTAAATTGTCATGGTATTAAAGACATCATCAAACTAAGCTAAGGATAGTCTACCAGTGAAATCTGCACCTCAAAAAGCAGGACAAATCATTTCAAAGGGTTAATTTTCCTGGGGAAGCATGCCCCTGACCAACCGAAGATTTAGAAATGATGATCAAACAAAATTGAGATGGAAGCAAAATTTCAGGCTAGCTAGACCACTGCAATTAACAAAGACATTGGGACAAAAAGTACAATCTTTTCACGAAACACCAAATTTTACAAATCTACCAGTTGTTGATTACTGCAGTCAGTCAATGCTGGCAATGATGTCACACTCACAGTCTATATGGCATTCTGACAACACACACATGTAATGTTACCTGTCCAATGTTCAGCACTTGGCTGACACTATCCGATGCAGTCAGGAGTTTCCCCGCTGGTCCCAGACGTGTTTCACCACTGCCAGGGAGTCCTTGGTCCAGGCACCGCTCACCTTACACTGCTGCACCAGTTCTGATGTGGATGTCTGACTGCTGGCTGCAGATCTGGTGTAGGGAGTGAATGAAACAACATAACATCATTTAGCTCATTGCATGTGTGTGTGTGTGTGTAGGGGAGGGGGGGGGGACAATACATGCAGATATCATTTATGAATTCAAGGTTGTGATGTCTTAATGGCAACATTATTGTTCTTTAGTAATATCTAATAATGTTTATTGCACATTTGTAACATATGCACAATGACATAAAAACAGACTACTCAGATCCACAGATAGGAAAACATCAATTATCTTGCCATTTTCAAGAGTATCCTACCCTTATTAACTTTTCCCCTTGACATACAAGTAGTTTGCATCTAGTAGTAGTAGCATTATACTAGCATACCATCACAACATCTTGTTTCATAGACCTAAGTCACATTAGCTATTTTGGCCCTTATTTTGCATTGTCGTTCTATCATTATGCATTGGTTTAAGCAAGTTCACCTAAAGAGGAATGTGAGAGCATTGACGGCACTCTGGACTTCATGGAGGCTGATGTCCACACCTGACTGCTGGATTCTCTGCAAGGGGAAAATACAGAACACTTAGTAGGATAGAACAAGTAAATAGCACTTCAGTGTATATGTGGCTCTTTCACATCAATTAAAAATGTAATACTAGTACACAAACGGCTTGGGCTAACCAAATCAGCACCAAGGACTGTGTACAGTTAGTATTTAATTAAATACAAGAAAGACAGACTTACTTCACAGAACCTTGCTGTATTGACAGAACCTATCTTATACTGTAGAAACAGGCAAACCTCCTGACACTGTGGACAAGAGAAGTAAAAATAAATATCACAGCAACATTTGTAGCATTTTTCAAATGTAGCCACTTGGTCTGAGAATTATTGTTACCAAAATGTTGGCATCAGCAGTAATATTCACATTCAAATTAATTACATTGGATCAGTTTCCACCACAATATGACATGTACCATGCACCTCATAATGCAAAACTGCCAGTACTATTGAGTATGGTTTGATAACAAAAAAATGTTTCTTTTTACTATATATTATAATCGAGTACTAAATATGATTGAATGTGTTACGTAATTATATACAATACCATTTCAGCCAAAATATCTTGTGGCAAGCCATTGATTGTATCTACGGCACTGAAGAAACCTGTTAGGAAATACACAGAGTAAGCATTGTTGAGCAAAAGCATCAATGAATTTGGAAAGCCCATGGCCCCTCCCCCATCTACAAAATCAGAATTACTGCATTTAGGACAAGTTTTTCCGCCAATACAAAGTACACAGAGGTGCATTAGAGTCCCGATAACGCCCTACACAGCACGCATGGGTTCTAGGTGATGTCTGATAAGAGAAATCCTTACTTACCTTGCGGAACTTTCTGCAAACTGAACTGCGTCGTCGCCATTTTGATCGGTCAAAGGTCAATCACACTGAACCACCACCTGAGAAGATATTTTAAGGAAAATACGGCTTAAATCGCGGATAAAATGATATTTTATCCCGTGTAGCATGTATTACGCTTCTCATCAGTTTGGTTTAATGACGCAATAAGGCTGTTCAGGAACTTTAAGGAAGAGTTTCTTCCTTGGGTCAGGGGACGTCACGGGACAAAACAAAACAGAACAGCTCACTAATACAAAGGGGGTTTTCTGAGAGCAGTAATAATATTTAAACAGTCACCACTGAAAAACAAAAGCATAAATATATAGCACAAAATATAGTATACCAAGCGCTTTTTTCCTACAAAATTCTTTCACTATATGCGTTTTTTTTTAACGAAGAATCTTTATTTATGCAAGGCCCGCCTGCCTGCCCCCTGTACGATATTGCACTAGTCCACCTGCAAAGATGTCCGGAGTTGAGAAGTTGGTGATCTTGCTGGTTGCTGTTGTCACAGTTTGCGCCGCTGTATGGCCCATTCCGTATCGGTAAATAAGAACTACTTTTTATCTGATGGTCCCTAAACGACAAAGTATTGTTTATATCACCGCTCTTGAAGTAAATAGTCAATTTTGTATGTTATAATGTTATAAGAAACTAGAAATCGCCCTTAAATTTTCTTCTTCAGAATTCAACGACAGTCTACTGACATATCGATATTAAAAAGTTAACCTCCTTATCAGGAAAGCAGTGCCATGTTAAACTTGATGTTCCAGAGACTCCAATGTATGACAATAGATCACGAGTTACACACCATGTTACGACACTTCCCTGTACTTTGGACCTTAGATATACGTTACAATTGTAATGTCCTTGGATATAGGTTGTGTAATCTATAAAGGAGTCCTTTGTTAAACCTCTAAAACTGAATGAAGACTTTATTTCACATTTTTGCTACACTTGGCAAAGTACATGTGTACAAAAAAAAGTTGATAAAAAAACAAGGTACATATAAATTATATCAAATTCAAAAGCTGACATTTGATAAATTCATCGTTTTTAGTTAAAGTAAGGACATTGTATAACTTGTAGAAATAAAATAAAGAAGCGGTGTGTTTTGTAATGGCAGGTTTGTCTTGCTGTACTAGAAGTACTGCATTGCTGAGAACTGCCGAAGGTTAAGCTACTTAGTATGGGACTGATGATGTTGATGATGATGATAGAAAAATGCTAAGTCATAGTCCAACCGTAATCTTGATGCACATTGTCCTAAATGTAATAAAATGATAATATTCCAGGCGTTTTGACAGCAGACCAAAGACCGATGCCTTCTGCCAGGCACTGTACCCGTTCTGTCCGACAGGACATCCTGACGGTTCCATGCCTAAGATGATGGACTCTGATGTGGTGGAGGTTTTCTCCATGAAGGCACCGGTTTGGGAGTTCAAGTTTGGAGATCTGTTGGCACATTTTGTAAGTATCACATGCTAGTAGATATGTACTAGTACACAAATTTTGTGGTATTGTCAACATTAATTTCACATCACAGGGCTGGAAATGCCAACTGCATGTACAGGTTAGTGCAGGTAAAATTGGACATGTGCAGGTATTTCTGATGTCTACCTGTACCAGTCCTGTACTGGGTTTATATTACATGTAGGTGTTTGTGGATTCCAATATCTTCATTGGCTCGGCTCCTACCACCTATGAAGTATAGCAGAAGAAATGGCAATAGTTTCAGAACAGTTTTTAGCATGATCCATTCTTAAATAAATTTTGAGCACTGCAGGTAATTTTGTAGAAAAAAAGTATGTCCAGCCCTGCTTTCTCTCTGTCTTTCATACAGTAGTAAGGAGAGTGGTAGCTTGGTAGGAAGCAACTACATGCACTGTCTGACTTCTAGCTACATGTACATGTGTAGACAGTGTAGTATAGTGCTACAGTTTGGTAGGTGTATTACTAGTACATATGTTATAGGTAATGTAATATATATATATAAGTCATATGGGGTAGTTTTGCACTGATGTGTGACCAGTTGTAAAATTCTACATTTTCACTTCCTGACACTACAGGACATCATCCATGATGCCATCGGTTTCCGTAACAATCGTACGGGCCTGAACTATACCATGGAGTGGTACGAGCTGTTCCAACTGTTTAACTGTACGTTTGGACACGTACTGACTGACATGGACCCCCCACTGTGGTGTAACCAGGGAGCAGCATGTCTGTATGACGGCATTGATGACTTACACTGGAGCCAGAATGGCAGTCTGGTCAAAGTGGCAGAAATATCAGGCAAGTAGTTTTCCTTAATATCCTCACCAGCATTCACACTTAAAAGTGAAATACATGTTTTACTATCCAACTCAAAGGAGAGAGATCTAGACTACAAGTATAGAAACAACTCATTACTTCTGGAAGGTATTATTTTTAGATGTGTTTGTATGTTGGTAGCTATAACTGTTTCTTTGATTTTCGATATACAATGTACTGGTACATCACACTGTTGTCCGGAAGGGAAGTTTTAAGCTATACTGTGTACTATAATTGTTAATCACCCATTTTTAAAAGTTACATGTATGTAGCATTACTGGTAATACTTTTCTTAATTTGCCAACAGAAATTGTCAGCAGTTATCGTCAACATGATACATTATATACTTCCTGGTTTAGAATCTCAGATTTCTTCTTTAGTTAGGTAACACCATGTTTTGTGGCTGTTAAACATAACAAAATCTTACCATCTTCTGCAGACAATGCTAATTGCACTCACATGTTCCCCACAGGCAAAGTCTTCAACGAGCTGGCAGACTGGGTTCACACAGACAACAACACCGGCATCTACTACGAAACGTGGATGGTGCGCAACTCCACCGGCCCAGACTCCAAGCTCTGGTTCGAAGCCTTCGACTGTGCCAGCTTTGTCATCCGAACCTTCAACAAGCTGGGGGACCTGGGAGCCAAGTTCAACACCAGCGTACAAACCAACTACACAAAGATCACCCTCTTCTCCGATCAGCCTGTGCACCTAGGCAACACATCCACCATCTTTGGTCCAAAGGGAAACAAAACCCTGGCCACGGAAATCAGGACTTTCTACGAGCATTTCCAAGCACACCAGCCATTCCCCTCATTGCTTAAGAGTATGTTGGAGGCCTTTGATACAATAGTTTTGGAAAAGAAGTGGTATTTCTTCTACAATTTTGAGTACTGGTTTTTGCCGATGAAAGAGCCATTTCTAAAGCTCACATATGAAGAAGTACCACTACCAGGGAGAAAAGAAGTCACTTTGGCATAATATCGTCAGTTTCTGGTAAACCTGACCAAACAGTATACACTAGGCCAGTGCCAATAGCATACCTCAGGAATGAATTTTCTACAAATAACAGGAATTGTAGAGAGAAGTTTTAATACTGACTTTTGTTTTGAATATTTTGCATTTGAATAGTTAAGAATGTGTGTAATTTTTGTCAACCATTGTACTGTTTTAAAGTTGTTGAATGAAATTAAGAAATGAACAATTTATGATGAATTATGGTTAACTGTAATGGGAAGAATGTTCAAAATTTAAAAATTATTGATGTAAATATGATGTGCAATACTGGTAGGACTGTATCTGTTCTAACATATATTTTCAATTTATGCAGGGCATAATTAAAATTCAGTGTTAATTTTGTTGCAATAATATAATTATAGTACTATGCAATTCTTAAAATCGACAGGTCTTACAACTGGCCTGTCAAAACTTTTGTACTATCTGTACTTTCAATAAATGACAGAAGAAATGTTATGTTTCAAATATTTATGTCAAGTCAACTTGTAACAGGTAACAAAGTAAGTTAGGACACAGTAAATGGTATCAGTAATGGTAGAACAGTTTCATCACATATATCACTAGTATTACTACTGCAACATTTGGTTAGGTAAAAATAAAGATTATCAAAACAGAAGAGTGGGTCATGAGTACAATCTGTCTTTGCTTAAATTTTACCTTTCCATTTCATTTCACAAGATTTTAAACTTTTAAAACAATTATGATATTCCACTTTTTGCTTCCTAACACAGTTGTATCTGCAACTATTGTTAGTTAATGCACTTACATCCATCAAATTTAATAAAGCACTTTGGAAAAAGGAGGTACAAGTGAGAAATTTCTGTACCATTGTACAAAATGATCTTTTATAATATCTCCATGTCATATACAATGTATATATTCTCGAACAAAATATATGTGTGTTTTACAATATAAACATCTACTAGTAGCTAGGGCTTTTAGCCACTCTACAAAACACTGCTACATGGACATCTTTATGAACATACTAAATTTGTACTAGCTACCAGGCTCTATCTTTTCCTCTTCTTTGCCAGTCGGAGGGATGACCGTGTCCGTGTGGCCACATTCTGGCTGTCCACAGAGTCTTGTGAGCTGCCTTCAACTTCAGTTTTCTTCTCAATACCATCCTCGATAACCACAGTGTCAATGGCAGAGGGTGTTGAACTCCCTCCATCTTCTGGTATTGCCAATGTTTCTTTCTCTGGGGTTGTGCAGTCTACAGGAGTAGTTTGCAGTCCTGGCATCTCTATATCAGTACCCTGAACAGCATTGATACCAATTCCTTGATCATTTGCTCCTCTTCTTCCTCTTCCCCTCCTCTGTAATCCACTACCTCTCCTTTGGAAAGGCTTGCTATGTTTTGGTGTCACCTTTAACTTTTGTCCTGGAGATTCTGTGTTTGTTTGGGTGTCCATTCCTGGTCCATTCTCACTCGTACAAGCTGTTAGGAGCTGGGTGTCAGAAATGAAATCCTCTCTTTGCTCTCTGTCAAACTGTGCTTGGGTGCATACAGTACTTCCTTGGGCGATGTCATTTGCGACACTTCCTTCCCTCTTGTCCGGAGTGTTTTGTGTGCAAATGGAAGCCATTTCTGCATCTGAAATTTCAGTCACATTGCCAGAGCCTACATCAGTTGCTGCCTTGTTCAGGTCATTCCCCTCAACATCTGCTAATGTTCTTTTCATAGGAGGGACAAAAGCAGGGCTCCCCCTCCCATTATTCAGTGGTACCAGCCCAGGTCTCTTGAATGCCCTCTTAACCCTATGAGGGATGGGGCTAACCAATGTTGTCAGTGGGGGTGGTGAGGGTACACGATCAAGGAGACTTCTTCTAGACTGAGCACTTGGCTTGCCTTTACCTGAGCTCTGCACATTAGCAAAGTGTGAGGCATTCCCACCATAAGGAGTTACTTGTGCAGCTGGGCTTGTACAGTGTAAAAGTCTTGGTGTGGAGACACTGTTGTTAGGGGTACTGTGTGCCCTTGCTGGAGTGAAGATTCTGGACCCAGGTGTGTGAGGTGCTGTCCTGTTTCCTGGGTTTGGACTGGGCCAGGCACGGGAAGTGTTGGCAGGACCAGGAGAGAAGGCTTGCCTGCTGTACACAACTCTCTCTACCTCCTGTACCATGGACTCTGCAAAGGACTTCACATCCTAGAGAAATACAAAATGTCTGTGGTTATAACAAACGTACAAACTTAAGACACAACAGCAATTACATTTGACTCTATCACTACACTTCTGTCTATGGACCAAGAGGTTGGGAGTTCGAATCCAAGCTGTTGTCACTAACCCGACATGCACGCTACAGTACTGCGCAATTCTTAGAACCTTTCAAAAAGAGCTAGGGAATTTCCCCAGTACAATGAACCTGTAATTACCGTACACTGCATCTGTCTTTTCTGTCACAACCAGTGGAAAAGTAGCTCTTCAGTGAGCTAAATCTTGATAGAGATCACTTTTTTAACACTAAATTATATATATATTAGTTACACATCAAAGCAATTGCCCCATCAAAGGAAACAAGTACACAGAGCCCTGACATGATCACTAACCTTCACACTTTCTTCCAGCCGTGCAAGTCCCTCTCTGAGGTGTGAGTGTTGTGGTTTCTGTGAGAAGTCAGCCTGGTCACCAAACGTCAGACACGGCACTCGTAGTCGATCATCTGGCCGCCACTGGAGGTTCACTCCTCCCACGAGGGCCCGCAGTTTCAAGACGTCTTCAAGGCTGTGTGCCGAGACTCCTCCCCAGAACTTGACGGAGCAAAGGTTCCCGTCTGCATCAGCTAAGAACACAGTCTGTACTCCACTACTGTTTTTGGCAGACAAGAAACAACACTTCTTTTAGCTTAGGTCACACAAAACTTGATTATATGTCCTCTTATGAGGTAGTCCCTTAGATAATTTTCCCATTGACACAAGCATGAAGAATCCTGCCCAAATGAATGCCTGTCGACATCATCTTCTTGAGCAGTTTTGACAAGTTTTACAAGGGTGCACAATAGGCCATCTGTGCATTGTATGTGTATCAAATACATGTGAGAGTGCGTCTTAACTGGTGTGTTGCTCAGGCATGGTCCAGGACAGTCCACACATCCAAAATTGTGCCTGGGGCAAATATACGTTCTTGGATATGCAGAGACTATCCAGAACCTTGCCTGATCCTAAAACACAACCCATTCAGGCAGAGAACTACCGGTTCATAGGCAAGGTTCTGGATGCAATACATTGGGGCCACCTTACAAATTGAGTTCAGCCCTATGTAGTACAGACCAGCACCTGTTTCCAGACTGTCCAGTGATGTACACCACCACCCCTACAACATCCACCTCCCCACAGGTAGGGCTGAAGTCAGAGGCGCACAGCTCTTCAAAGGTGGCCAGCTTCCTGGGGGTGTACACCTCCTCCAGTGTGTCAGGTTTCACAGGTAAGTCTTGGTACCTGGTGGTACGTGTGCTAGCTAGCTGCACCTGGTTTCTGAAATGAGAAACCAAACATGAGATATTAGTATCATTACCTTTGCTATAGACACATCCATTCACCAGTTTTGTATTGCCTACAACAAATGACTTTACATCTTGTAGCATCACTAGATTGTCTTCGCTTGTTGGAATCTGACACTTTTACAGAAACTCCTTCTTCCATACCACTAATGGTTTATTATGCAGCCAAATTACTTTTATGATTGTGTGTACAACCTTTCTGTATATACCTTTCTGTGTATACATGTATAAAGTGTGTATTATTCTAATGTGTATTATTTTATGGGTTCTTAATACCTGAAATAAAGAAAGATTCATAATAAAAGTGCCCCAGTGGATAAGTCTCTAAGAATTGTTACATACATGTATTAGCAATTTTTATACTGCACCTGCTACAATGATCATGCAATAAAGTCTTCTTCTTCCATCAAGACAGTGACCATGAGTTCCTTGGTGTAGAGACTGCTGAAGACAACTCACCTTGCAGCAGAAGTGGAGAGGTGGAAGATCTTGAGTCTTCTACCCTCCTTCAGCATGTCCATCACATTGTCAGTGGGTCGCCACACTGTCAGGGTCAGCTCTGGTCAGATGTAAAAATGTTAAAGATCATCCTATTGAATTTTGTATCTTTTGAAGTTGATGAATATGTAACAATAGTATCATACTTGTAGCAATCATCAGTGTTGCAACACTTAGCGCAACCTAAAACTACTTTCGGCTGCCGCTATATTACTACATGATTGTACATGTATTATAAGAATTCATGTTCAGGCTCTAGAAGATACCTTTGAAATCTTATTTCAAAACACTACTTAGAAGACTAGTCAATTTTGCTGGTATTTACAAAGTTTAAGTCACATCAAAACCAAAATCAAGATTTAAGATATTATAGAGTGTATATTGGAACACTGAAAATTTTTCCAAATATCTAAACACTTTGAAATTGGACGAAATCTCTACTTATTATGGATAAGACAAGCATATAGGAACTTAATGTTGGGCTTATCAAGTTGAGTACTTTACCTGTCTTTCTTGCCCCCTTGTACTGGTAGTCAGCCAGCCTGACTCTGTACATGGCCACCACGTTCCTCTGGACTGGGATCTCATCATCCAGCTGCTGCAGGGCCCTGCGGAACTCTGCCTGCAGCTCCCCCTGCTGTTCTGCCTGCAAACTGCGCTGGTGGTCATACAAACGGGAGCGCTGGGCAGGACTCAGACATTGCTGTAGAGAAGGTGTGTAAGAGATGACCTCAAAAAGGATATGGACAACCTTAACCTTAAGTTCTCCTTTTTTAAAGTCAACTAAAATACTATATCTGTAACCTCACTACCTAATATATGAAGGAGAGAAATGTTATAGAACACACATTTTCCTCTCATAAAAAAAATACAGCTAGAACTTTTTCTGCTTTTCTACATTCTACATTTAGTTTTCCAAAACTGTTTGTGAAACCTACAAGTAAAGTTTATGTCAAATTGAAATTTGCATCAATGTAACTACTGTCACCTCAATTTCTGTAGGGTCCATGGCCCCCTGCAGAGCCTCGTAGATCTCCTGTCCAGTCTGCAGGTTCTCTATGTCTTCTGTCTTCAGTTGTAGAGACTTTCGTCTGCGCCCGACACTGCTTCCTACATATACATGTATACATTACTAGATAGGTGTACCAAGAAACCTAACTACATTGTAAATGTTGCCAGTGATGGCCATGAGAAGCTGGAAAATACAATATATAGTATATATAATACAATATGATAGTGCATGATACACGTATGTAAATGTTTCGACTAAGTCACACATTAAGCAATTGCAATTACATGTACTGGAGAGCATAGCTGACCTGTGACCTGTGGAATATGTCTAGAGTACTAAAAAATAAAATAACTAGAAAGGTAACATTTGCAAAGCATGTTTACCTTTACATGATTTAGTCTCTCTACTTCTCTGCTTATTCTTGCTCAAACATAGTCACACATACGATGACAAGCCCCTCAAACTCTGTCCTGCCACTTGTTACATAATGTAATCCAACACCACAGGGTGTCTACTACAGCACCAGTTACCATGGTGACAGATGCCTGGTCCAGGTCATTGACCTTATATGTTTGGAGAAGACAACGTTTCAATTGTGTGAAGGTAAACATTATAAAGCCCCACCTTTTCCTGCTGTCCTCCTCTCAAACTTGTCCTGTATTTGTGAGTAGAGTTTCTCCATCCTCCTGTTCCTGTCCCCCTCGTGTTTCCGTGCTGCCTTCTCCTCCGCACGACGACTTCTCACCACACTGCTGCCGCTGGGGTACTTCTCCATGTACTACACAACACAAAATAAATCAATCATTTTCTGAACAGTCAAATAACACCATCGACCAGATGGTGGTCACAATGGTAACTGGTGCTGTAGCAGACACCCTGCCATGTTGGATGACATTATGTAGCAAGTTGCAGGACAGAGTTGGAGGGGCTGGTCACCATCGGATTTGGCCACTTCATTTTTTTCTGATTTGCAAAAAAAAAGGATTCAGGCTCTGAATAAACTCCAAAATGCTCATATTTTGGTCCGAACAGTTGAGGACAGTCCTTATCTGTGTTACAGTCATTACAATTTTTCCATCTAACAATGCAGTGCTTTGATTAAAAGTTCAAAATTCATTGTTTGAATTATAAAGCCTAGACTACACCTGGTACATTGACTTCATGGGTCCTATTCCAAGGCCTGTTTTTTTCACCCTGTATATTTTTCTGAAAAATCCGAGAACCAACAAATGAAATTGGTGTGGCCTAAGTTAATCTCCAAGCAGATCTTTTGGTGGGGGTAAGACAGTATCAAATTGGCCAGTCT